CGAGTATGTTCTGGTAATGTCAGGGCACTATTTGTGATTATGAATCACAGAAATGACGCACTTTGAAGATGTAAGTACATGTACATGAAAAAATTACTTGTAACTGTTGTGACCCTTTTATTCAGTAAAATAATTCAATATCTGACATGTATCTGTTTACAAATTTTCCCCCAAATCACACATTTTTATAATTATCTGACAAACGATACAAAAAAAATCAAACATTAAAAAACCGGTTTCACAGTTTTCCAAAACTTAATACACAAAATGGTAAGAGGTCCAATATTTCAATCACTTTTTCTCAAAATGTCCTAAAGTGAGACACATACGTGTACATCATTGTACAGCGATAGGGTGGTATAGTACCGGCCAGTCTCATTCATGTCATTGTAACCCCCCCAACTCTCTAAGACACTCCCAGTCTCTCACCCCCTTGCCTCAGAGTCATCCTATCCTTAATTTATGTGCAAAGAGAGTGAAAGGGGGCCATTTTGAAGTTGTGCTATACCTAAGCAATACACACTGCCCTATGCTTTTTGACACTTCCAGCTAATTGGGCTCTGAAACACGACTAGCCAATTGCACTGTCTCACATTCTATGGTGCTCAACCAAGTATGAACATGAGCTTCAGTGTACAATAAGTGAAGTCAATGAGGTACATGCCTGGCTGAAATTTTCTAAGACAAATGTCTGATCCTTTGATTTTTTTGAGTAATGAATATTGGTATAAGTGATTTTTTTTGAGTAATGAATATTGGTATACAGCACAATGCTGCTATGATGAACAGGGCAGGGTCCACACACAATGCTTGGTGTGGCATACATGTACCTCCCCAACCATTGCGATTTTATTGATACTGTTCCAATCGTCACATTTCATAGGCCTAAAAATCTGATTTCCATAAAAAAGGGGAAATGTCCTGGCAAAAGAGGGCGCTATTCGCTAAAACAGAGAGGGTGTCAATTGCAGAAAAAAGAGGGTGCTATTTCCTATGTTGAAATGTCAGTTGTTGCACATAAATACATGTGCATTTTTGTTTGTGTAAAACAGATTCTCATGTGCGGCTGCTTGTTTTGCTATGGGCTCATAACATGGCCGTTTCAATTTTAGAGTTTATTGACATCTGAACTTTTGAGTCACTGTCATCAGTCCTAAATTTTTTCCTTTAATTTAAAGCAAATTTGTGATGTTCAGTAAAAGTGCGCAGAAAATTTGGGAGCCAAAAGGTATGTGTCGTTTTCTGAATTGTTCAGTATAGGGACGTACTGTACTTCCATCCAAATTATTCATGACTTAAAGAGGTACTCTGTAAATTGAACAGTCAATTGGTCAGTTTGCTTTTGAAGAAAGACTATTGATCACCTTTAATTTGTTTCTTTTCAGTGTAATGCATTGACTCATACACTGTACATGTAATAATGCACATCTAAAAACATTCATGTTCACATTTAAGTTATCAAGATGCTTTACATGTAGGCCTGCTTCAAAATTTGTCAATAATTACCATTGGGAAAGACTCTAGACACATTGATAATACTTCTTTTGAGGACTAAAAGCTCAAGTAACTATTGCATGCTTTCCAAAATTGAATGGTGTTCCCGTTCTGGCAGCCAAAATACCAGCACTGTCCAGTAAACCCAGTGGCAGTTCTTAACCTCACTTTTACCAAGTTCGCCCCCCGATCAGAGATATTGACAAATGGGAAGAACCACCGACATAGGGCTGGATAGCTCAGTTGGTACAGTGTTCCAGAGGTCGCAGCTTCAAATCCCTCCCCAGTCAATATCTTTGTTCATTTGTATAAGTTTTTTCCTTGGACAAAACTCTGTGTGCATTTTGTATTTTCCAAGTTGTACATATATCCACATTGCCAGAGCATTAGAAAAAAGTTTTTCACTTAAAATTATCACAAAACTGCAAGTCGCAAATTGTTTGCTCAGTGCTGAAAGGTCATTACTGCAAAAATGAATTTTTGAAAAACACTAAGGACCTTACTCTGTGCACAAAAGAAATAAGTTGATGTAAACGGTTTTTATTTTTTAGTCATAAAAACTGTTTTTTTTGTGGCAAACATGTTTAAATTTTAACCAATTCTGTTTCCACTGTTAATGTCTAGAACAATATTTTTCTCTAAACACCTTTTAGTGCATTCTAAAGACCTTTTAGCACTGACATGAAATTTGTCTCATTTGAAAATATTACCTTGCATAAATGCTTTGTGTGTATGTAAAATAATCACCATTTATTGCTATAACCAGTTAATTTCTATTTGTAAGTGAAATAAATGCTCATTTATTGAAACTAGCAGAACAACTTGTTTGTACATGTATATCTGTTTGTACAACTGTAGTACTTTGCCACTTAAACCTTCTCCTAATCTGGACCATTTTACACTGCTGGAGTTTAAGGTACATCTGTTTCCATCTTTAGATTTTACATTACTGCCTCATCCTACATGGAAGCCCTGCCAGTCTTAAACATCTTCCAAGCTCCTTATATAAAGTTCCCTCTTGGAGCCTTTTAGTCTCAAACTTATAAGGGCTACAATAAGCCCAGTAACATTAAGAAGCTATGTCCTTCAGCTCCATGGGATCCTCAGAGCTCTAATACCAATAGTCCCAAGCGCTCAGCCATCTACTCTACTCTTCTTATCAGCTCTCAGACTTCCAGTTCCTAGGACTTGCACCATTGCCCATCTCCAGTA